GGCGCCGGGACCCCGCGGCGGGCGGGGCGGGGCGGGGCCGGGGGGAGGGGCTTCGCAGGAAAGACCACGCCCGCTCGGTAGTAGCCCCGCCCCGTCACAGGCTGATGAGCCCGGGAGGGGCGTGGCTTCAATGGAATGGGCGGGGCCACAGTCACAATACCCAAATATGGTGAGCGATGGGCGTGGTTTCGGAGACACGGACGGGGACACTCATCACAGGCCACGCCCCTCTGGTCGTACTCCACCAGGGGGCGGGGCTTGGGTGGCTGGGCGGAGCGAACCACTCTAGTCCCCGCCCCTCATGTCTAACCCGAGGAGGACGGGGCGGGGCTCCGGGAGGCGGTGGGCGGGGACATTCCGCCCCTCTGATATAATCCCGTCCCGCCACCGTCAGAGGGAACGGGGCGTGGCTTTGGGTGAGAGGTGGGTGTGTCAACCCGCTCTAACCCCGCCAAAAGGACGCGAGAGGGGGCGTGGCTTATACTCTAGGCCGCGCCCCCATCGCGTGTAACTCCTCCTCCTGCCCCGCGCGGCCCCGCCCGACGTGACGCATGCTGCCCCTTCCCCTCCCCCCGCGCGCGCGCGCGCGCGCCTCTTCGGGTACGTGCGCGCGCCCCCGTGCGTTGCGTTGCGTTGCGTGCGCGGCCCCGCGGGCGGCAGGACCCGGATCGGCGGCGGCGGCGGCGGCGGGAGGAGGAGGAGGAGCTGGAGCGGGGCCCGCGGGGCCCTCGGCCGCCATCACGGATTTCCTGTGGGACAAGCGCACCGGGCTGGCTGCGAGGACGGTGCGTGACGCGCGGCGGGCGGTGCGGGGTGGGGCGGGTAGGCCGCGGGCGGGGAGGGCCCGGTGCACGGTGGGTCCCCGGTGGGGCGGGGGCACACACGGTGTGGGTGTTTCTGAGGGGGGCGGCGGGTCCGGATGGCCCGGCGCCCGTCGCTGCCGGTGTCCCGGTGCTTCCGGCCCCGCACGGGGGAGGCCCCGCCCGCCGCCGCCATCATCGCGCCCAGACCGGCCCCGGTGCTCGTCCCGCCGGCACCGGCCTCGGCGCTCCCTGCGATCGGCGAGGGAGCGGCGAGGCCCCCGGGGGGGTCGGGAGCCGCCCCGCAGAGCCCTGGGGGTCCCGAGCCCGTTCCCCCCCGGTCAGCCCAGCCCCGGGCCGGTCGTGCCTGTCCGAGCCAGGCCGGTGATGTCAGCGCGGGGCGGGGGCGGGGAGGTGGCCGGGGGGGTGTTTTGTGGGAACTCTGTGGGCAAAGGGAGCTCGGACTCCTCTCCCGGCCCTGGCACGGGTTATTCCGTGGGTGCCCCGTCCCTGGAAGTGTCCAAGGCCAGCTCGGAGCAAGCTGGCCTGGTGCAAGGTGTCCCCTGCCCGTGGCAGGGGGTGGGACTGGGTGAGCTTTGAGGGCCCTCCCAGCCCTTTAACATTCCATGACTCCGTGATTCGTGCCTGCGGAGCCGAGGCAGGTGGAGCTGCTCCTGCTTGGGGAGCTGAAATACGTGTGGGGAATGTGTGAGAGCTGGAGCTGTGCCATCTCCCCCCGGGGGTCTCCTTGGCTCTGAGCTCTCGTGGTCCCCCAGAGGGGCAGAGCCGGGGGTTTGCAGGGCTCTGTTAATGTGCATTGGGAAGGGTGGGTTTGCTCCTGGGCACTTCCCACAGGCACAGGGAATTGTACCATGGAATACCCTGAGCTGGAAGGGGATCATCCAAATCCAACTCCTGGCCCTGCACAGACACCCCAACAATCCCACCCTGTCCCTCAGAGCATTCTCCAGATGCCCCTTGAGCTCTGGCAGCCTTGGGGACATGCCCACTGCCCTGGGGAGCCTGTTCAGTGCCCAACCACCTTCTGGGGGAAGAATTTTCCTAATATCCAACCTAACCCTGCCCTGACACAGCTCCAGCTGCTTCCCCAGGTCCTGTCCCTGCTCACACAGAGCAGAGGTCGGAGCTGCCCCTCCTGAGGAAGCTGCAGCCCCCTGAGGTCTCCCCTCAGCTTCTCCAGTGCTCTCAGCTGCTCCTCATGTGGCCCCTCCAGACTCTTCCCCCCCAGGTGTGGATGTCACTTGCTTGGCACCAAACCAGAGGCATCTCCTGGGGAGCTGCCCCCGTGGGTGTTCCCGTTACTGCTGCACAGGGACTTTGGTGGCATCCAGGGCTTCATTTCACCTCCCTCGGGGGTGGTTCCCTCCTCCCTGGGGAGCACAGGAGCTTAAGGGGAGAAGGTGGAAGCCCTGGAGGTGCAAATGCTCCTCCTGGAGCTGTGGACTTTAGAGATGGGTGCAAACAGGGGAAGTAACCTGGAAAAGATTTGATTAATACGCAGAACTAGTTCCAGTCTTCTCGTGCCACTCAAGTGTTATATAGCACTTGGCAGCATTGACAAGATGGTTTTGGTTTTTTTTTTTGTTTTGGCTTCTGAGACATGTAAAAGTCAAAATAAAAATTATAGGAGGATTTATTGAAATAGATATTTCAGTTAGATCTTTGAAAAAAAAACAAACAACCTTTTATTTTCTACGTAACTGGGAGAGAGTTGTTTTCCCATGACTGAATCTCTCCTGTACACAACAAGCACAGCTCCTCTGGGGGGTCCCATCTTGGTTTAGGGGGCTCTGGGATCTCCAAGAAGTTCTTCTTCTCCCCCAGGGGGATCCCTGGGATTGAGGTCAGGGATCCATGGGACTCCCCAGCACATGGATGTGGAAGCAGTGCCGTTCCACCTGCCAATCCAGGGCCTTGATCCAGTCCTGTTTCTGGGGGGAAAACATGGAAAAATGGGAAAAGATGGTGCCAGGGAGCCCAGGGAAACTGGGATCCTCCTCCTGGATTCATCCCCAGCACATGGATGTGACATTGGTGCTGCTTCAGGGCCTCGATCCCAACCTGAATGTGGGGGAAAAACACAGGAAAAATGGGAAAATCCACGGAAACAGGGTCAGGGAAAAGGTCAGGAATAGGAGATCTATCCTCATCCCAAAACAGGGTTAATAGGGAGGGATATGGGTGTTTCCCAAGTGCCACTTCAGGGCCTCGATCCAGTCCTGCTTCTGGGGGAAAAACAGGAATGTGGGAATGGGATGGGGAATAGGAGCAGGGAAGAGGGAGGGTCCCAGGGCAACATCCTGGATAAATGGGAAAAATAAAGTCAAAGTTGGGGATAAAATCCATCCTGATCCCTAAAAATAGTTACAGGGAAATAGGGCTGTGGATGGGCTGCTTCAGGGCCTTGATCCCAATCTGATTCTCAGGGAAAATGGGAAAAACGGGACCAGGAGTCCCTGGGAATGAAGCAGGATCCCTGGGAATGGGGGTCATCCATGCCCAGCAGATGGATGTGGGGTTTGAGGGGATTTGAGGGGGTTTGGGATGATTTGGGGCAATGTAGGAATTTCGGGGCATCAGGGTTGATTTCAGAGGGATTTTGGGGTGATTTTTGGGTGGTTCAGAGGAATTTGGGTGTGCCAGGGTTGTTTTTGAGGCGATTTTGGTCACTCACATTCTTATCCCCCTCCGTCTTGCGCGTCTGCACCGACAGCGACTCCGCTCTCAGACTGATTCCCCTGCATGTTCAGGGTGTTGTGGGGAGAAAAGGGGAGTCAGGGACCCCAAAATACACCTGGGGGACCCCAGAATCCCCTGGAGACTCCAAAGAACACTCTCAGAACTCTGGACACTCAGATGTGCTGCTGAACTGGATGTTGCTCACCGGTCCCTGTCCCACGCGGCGGCTCCTGCTGTCCCCCTCCTGCTGTCCCCAGAGATGCCTGACGGGGTCCCCACTGTCCCTGGGTGCCTGACGGGGTCCCTACTGTCCCTGGGTGCCTGACGGGGTCCCCACTGTCCCTGGGTGCCTGACAGGGTCCCCGCTGTCCCCACAGATGCCTCACTCCCGAAGGTACCGCTCGTCGGAGCGCAGCAGCCGCGGGAGTTACCACGAGCGCTACCGGAGCCGCAAGCACAAGCGGCGGCGGACGCGGTCGCGGTCGAGCAGCAGCGAGCGGGACCGGCGGCACCGGAGGGAGGACAGCTACCACGTCCGATCCCGGAGGTGAGCCAGGCTCGAATCTGCCCTCCTTCACCGCGGTTGGGTTGGGGGGGATCGCTGGAGACCACCCAGGGCAACCCCCTTCCGAGGCGGGGTCACCCAGAGCACAGAGAAACCCACCCGGGTGGGTTTGGGATGTCTCCAGAAAGGGAGACTCCGTGCCCTCCCTGGGCAGCTGTTCCAGCCTTGTTCTTCACAGAACCACAGAATATTCTGAGGCACAAGGACCATCAAGTCCAACTCTTAAGTGAATGGCTCACACTGGGGTTGAACCCACAACCTTGGCACTATTAACACCGAGTTAATCTCAGGGTTCTTCCTCGTGTTGAGGTGGACCTTCTTGTGGTTTGGTTTATGGCCATTGCTCCTCATGCTGTCACTGGGCACCTCTGAACAGCCTGGCACCATCCTGACACGTGCCTTGGAGATATTTATATGCATTGATGAGATCCTCTCTTCTCCAGACTAACCAGGCCTGGCTCCCACAGTCTCTCCTCATAAGAGGGATGCTCCAGTCCCTTCATCATCTTTATCTCTCCAGCTGGGCCTGGTCAGC